GCATCACCAGTGTTCTCCTGAAGATCTATTTATGCAGCTTCTTTTCTCTTGCTCTGATTAAACACACCGCTGCTCACCTGAATGACAGCTTTTGTTTGCTGCGGTTTGCCAGTGTTTGCCATAAGGCTTACGGTGAAGGGACGAGCTGGGGAGGACGGGGCAGGAGTATTTCTGTGAGAGCAGGACGTTAAAGTCACAAGTTTGTGTTGGTTCTGATGCGCAGGGTTTGAGAGTGTTTTCAGTGGGTCACTGATGAGTCCTTCCTGCCTGCCTCAGCCCCTGGCTATTTAGCGTTGGGTGCATTAGCAAAGCAGGATGATCCTGTCTGAGCGATTAATTCCTTTGCCTCAGTGGCAGATTTCTGCATTCGTAAGGGAATTGGAACTATTTCAGAAATAGAAGAGATACTGAGGTTTTGTTTTCCGCATGATTAATTCCAATCATCTGAGGCTGACCTCTGCCTTTTACCTACCTATCCATAAGTTCACTTCTTTCTGCTAACAGTATTTTCCTCTCCAAGATAGGTATCTTCTCCTGTTATTTTCCTTCCTGTGTAATGTAGGAGCATAGTCTGGCTCTCAGGAATTTCCTGGGGTTTTGCAATCTTTGCGGCTTATCTGTTAGGTGCCATAGGAGAAGAGGGATGCTCTTCAGGTAGGCTCTGTGGGGATGTTTCAGGAAGGGGGTTTAAATAGTGCCTCACCACTGGCAGCTTAGGCAATTGCAGTTGCCTAACACTGAACAGCAGTAGTGACCAGGGTACTTGTCACAGGCTCTTTCTCTGTCCAATATAATAGAAAACAAAAAAAGAAAGTCTCTTTGTTGCAGTGATTTCTATCAGAAGTAACTTTCTATTTCTCTACAGCTATAGAGATATAAAGGTACTTTATTGTCTGTGTAGTGAAACTCAATTTTGAACAAGGATGCTAAGGAAAAAAGTCCTCGCTCTATCATGAGCTGTAAAGCTTTTCCATAATGCATATCCATGACAAGCTACGAGACAGAGCTGTCATACATCAAATTAGATAGCAATGTGGAAGAGTTATCATTCAATGCGGTATCCGCAGTGGTCTCTGTATTTCTATGTGTAAAACAGTTCCTTTGGGCCCTTTCAATTCCCACTGAAGGCTTTGAGAGATCTTTTTCCATATTGGAGACAAATATTCAACTCATTTAATCCCCTGTAACACAGAACTGTGGCTTTGGGAGGTGTCATTGCTTTCCTGTGTCTTTCAGTGGCTCTCAAAAATGCCACCTTGACAGCTTCATTATTTGAGCTGGTTGTTCAGATTGACGGGTGGGTTTAGTTATTTAATTTTTTTTAACCTTTTTTAACTTAAAAAAAAAAAATGAAATTTGCCAAAGGGAAGTACAATTTTCTTCCTAAATCAGAGATGTATGCACGGTATAAGGAAAAATCACTGCCATCTACTGGGGGCCCTGTGCCATGGGATCAGAAAAGCATCCACTGTGGTTTCTGAATGCAGCAGCAGTGGAAAACCCTTTGCTTGAGTGCTCAGATCCTGATGAATTACTTCTATCAGCTTGGAGGGGACTCGCTCTGTCCAGGAGATAAAGCACTTAATGCTTTTTAAATGGCTCTTTTTGGACTCACACAACCCCCTCTACTGCCAGTGCTTCCATTTCAATCAGTGATATCTCTCCCTTCTGCACAGCCCCAGCCACAGGGGTCTTGTTGCAAAGCTGTCTGCCTTTCTCTTCTTCAGGGCTGCAGCACAGGAGGAGCCACAGTTTGCCCCTAAAAGCTTCCCAGTGTGGTTTTCCAGTTCTACAGAAAGGAAAATAGCATTTAATGGGAAGTTTGAAAAAGCACAGCAGCATTTAGGCATCTGAAATGCAGCACATCACCAGTTTTCATTGCAACCTGAAGCATTCTGCCTTGAAGCTTTTGTAACAAACTCTGTTTTTTAATTTGCCTATGACACTAAGCAAAGTATTAGTGTAATCTTTAACTTGGTGTCAGTGCCCGTTCCCAGAGAAGGGGGAAAGTTGAATGGCTCTGTAATGTCTCTGATGAGATCTAAGTTCAGTGTCTGATATGTTAATAGAGAGAAGGCTGGTGTTGTCCAAGGGCTCACTGACGTTAGCCCCACATGGAGTATTGCATCCAGCTCTGAAGCACCCAGCATAAGTGGACGTGGAGGCCACAAAGATGCCGCAAGGGCTGGAGCACCTCTGCTGTGAAGAGAGGCTGAGAGAGCTGGGCTTGTGGAGCCTGGAGAAGGGTCCTTAAGGAGAAACCTTAGAGCAGCTCCAGTGCCTAAAGGGGCTGCAGGAAAACCGGAGAGGGGCTTGGGACATGGGCCTGTAGGGACAGGGCAAGGGGAATGGCTTGAACCTGCCAGAGGGGAGACTGAGCTGAGCTCTTAGGCAGAAGCTCTTCCCTGTGAGGGTGCTGAGGCGCTGGCACAGGGTGCCCAGAGAAGCTGTGGCTGCCCCATCGCTGGCAGTGCTCAAGGCCAGGTTGAACACAGGGGCTTGGAGCAAGCTGCTCCAGTGGAAGGGGTCCCTGCCCATGGCAGGGGTTGGAACTGCTTTAAGGTCCCTTCAACCCAAACCATTCTAGGATTCTGTGAATATCTGATGGAGCAAACATAATGTAAAACTGTACTGCTTGCTGTAAGCAAATAACAGATCAAAACTCATTCATGTTCTTTCTTATCCTGTTCTTATTTTTCTCTCAGTTTTTGTAATAATTAGGGTAAGATGAACAGCATAAAGGCTCTGTGGCACACTGCCAATCTTGAACAAGATAAATTGTTCCACTGAACGTAGTTTTATGGCAATTCCTGCTTGATTTTCCTATATTTGTATTTTCATTGTAGCTGTTCCCAGACAGGGGAAAAACTGAACATATCAAAAAGTCCTATGAGTTCTCTGAAATGCCAATCAGAAAAAGTCTATGACTCTCTGATGGCCAAGGCCAGCTGAATCTTTTTGTCTAAATCAATTCACATAATGCAATGAACACTTACAAGAGCAGGCAGAAGCCTGACTGTTGCTTTCACCCTTCAACTCAGAAGTCTGCACATCTACCGGTGTCATTTTCCTTTCCATGTTGAATTGATCATATCTGAAAATGCACTTTACAAAGGGAATCAATTCTGTGCTTTGCTTCCACTTCATCTTTCTGTCCATTTGCCAGAAAGATAATAAGCCCTAGCAACAATAGCGCAAACATGAACACTGGGCGTTAGGAAATGCTTCCTTGCAAGACTGCTGTCATCACCTCAACCTTAAACTTTGGATGCTCAGAAGGGCTGGGACTGATGATTTATAGAATATCTTTAGAAATCTTTCTTCTTTTTTTTTTTTGAAAGCAGCTTGTAAGAAAGTGTATTAAAATGTTAACATTTCCAGGAAAAGATTCCGAAGACAAAAGAGGCTAAAAGCACCTATCAAATATCTTCACTCTGATAGATTTATTCAGTGGAAGGGGTAAAATCTTTTCTATTTTGTTCATTTTGAGAAATGCAGACCCCAAAGCGTAATTCATCTGAAGAAGCACATTTTAAATAGCTGCTAATGTGCTGTTACAGAAGGAAATGTGCTATTCCACGGCAATCCTAATTACTGTGCAACTGTATTTCATTCTGCACTAGCAATGAACCGATCATTTAAACTCGCAGTAATGGTTTTGTTATTATGCAAACATCTAGAAAAGGGTCCATTAAATTCGCTATTTGATCATGGGTTCTTAGATAGTGAAGATGAAATCACAGTTTGAATATTCTCTCCTTTTCAGTCCAAATAAAACTACAGGCTACAGCTGAAATTCCTCTGCCTGGTTGCACCTTAAAGGGCTGAAGCTGGGCAATGGGGCAGCTTCCAGATGTGGTCTGTGCCCACCTTGCCAAGCAGGGGCAACAGCAGCCACAAAGGCCCTTACTAACCTCTGCTTTTCCTTCTCTATTCCTTTCTGTTCCCCCTTCATCCTCCCCTTCTGGAACAGTGGAGGGTTTTACGTTTCCCTCCCAAGAACATTTATTCAGCCACACAACTCATAAATGAAACACTGGGTTCTGCTAGTGCAAGCAGCTGCATTAGCAACTTATTTATATTTTGTCTTTTCTTTCAGCTTTTTTGCCTTTTAATTACCTTCCTTTGTGATTAAGGGCAGTCACATCCTAAATTCAATCACCCTGAAGAACAATATGAAATGAAGAAGTTTAATGTTTTATTATAAAACTCTTCCAGGGGATCCAGTGATTCTGTAATTTTGCTATTAAGAAATTGCCCTTTTCAGTTGTCTGCTGCTCCCCTTTCCTTTTTCCCCTGAACAATAAACTGAAGAACATTCTCAGTTGCAGGATACAAAACGCGTACTTTCTGTACCAGAGCACCACAGCTTTTCTTTCTGCTTTTCAATTTGTCATTTTGTCTGATCAGTAAAGAATGAGCTGTCATTTTTTGAGAGGAACTCTGAGATAAAGCATTCAAAGTAGGAGAATACCAGCCAGACCTCTTACAATTTACAGGAGAAGGAGAGCTGGGTGGAATTGTTCACTTTGGGTCCATATGCAGTGAATAGAACAATATCATGCTAGCGCTGTGTTGAACTACTATTTCAATGGCCTCTTTAGCAAGTTATCAGAGGTTTCTTTCAGCTTGACATCAAAGTGCCTCTCTGTTCCTCTTCTGAATCTCCATATAGACTCTTACCTCAAGAGGTAATTTGCCCACAGAGCACTTTGTCAGTGCTGGCCACTGATGGATGCTGGGTTTTGGTCTAGTCCATCTGCTGTCTGCCAAAACCCTTATCTAGAGAAGGCAAAAAGCAGGAATCAGACACCTTCTGCCAAGTTCCTGGGGATTTTGGGTGCCTGGTTTGCAGCTCTCTGCTTGTGAAACCGTAAGCTATGTTGGACAACAAAGACATGCTTTGTCTTGTTCCACTGGCAATTTCATCAGGTTATCCACTGAAATCTCATCCTCTTCAGACAATGCTCCTGATACTTCTGTTTCTGTTTCTCTTACAGTTTGTTGCTCATCCCAACTGCCAGCAGCAATTGCTCACCATGTGGTATGAAAACCTCTCAGGCTTACGGCAGCAATCTATAGCTGTGAAGTTCTTGGCCGTCTTTGGGGTCTCCATTGGCTTGCCCTTCCTTGCCATAGCCTACTGGATCGCTCCCTGCAGCAAGGTACAAACTCATTAAGGTGCATGGCTTTTATGGTGTGAATGAAGTCACATGTTTTTCTGGAACATGGTTGGGAAGTGGTTCATGCTATCCTCTAAGATTGCCCCAGAGGAAATAAAGCTTGTGGTGTTGCCTGATATACACAAATGGAGCTATTAGACATGGTTTGAGGTTCATATTTACATGTAAAATAGGTGGCATGAGGGGAGAAGAGGGTAAGATGGTGAGTGACAAGAAAAGAATAGGAGCAAGAAATAGATAGGAGATAACAACGTGGCAGTGGGATGAAAAAAGAATGGAAGAACCACCAAAATGGGAAATAACTAAAGAAGTTTTTTATTGCCCTTTTAGTTAACTCTGATGTTTAAGCTCATTCCTTTTTATGTACTTTTTTTTTAAGTACATAAAGCCTTATTCAGAGCTTCTTCCTTTTCCTTCTTTCTGATCTTGTATTTTTAGTTAGTGGAGCATTATTATGGCACACATGCCTGAAACTTTGGCAAGCCCCAGGGGACTGCTTAGTTCTGCAGAGAAGACTAGACCTAGTCGTACAATCTTTAGGATTTTGAGGGAAAAGATTATGAGACTTGGAAAATTGCCATGTACCTAAATAGGGCTGTACTACAGCTCACAGCATCAGACAGAGCAGAAGAGTTTGCCAAGACCTAGAGGTCAAAGAACCAGAGCCAACTATTAGCTTAGTTAAAAGCTTGAGTGCTCTGTGGTGTGAAATCCATAGTGAGTTTTCCATCCTGTAAGGATCTGTTCTTCAGGATAAATACATGTGTGTCTGACTGATACTGCTCTTGCTACGGAAGGATGGGGAGGCAGGGTAGATCATTTTGCATTCAGCAATAGCCAGTAACATCATCCATTATTACAAGGTAGAGGTCTTCAACAGGAGGCTTATCAGAGGTACTGAAATTTGATCAAAATGAACCCTGGCACTGCTAATGTATTCAGGCTTCAAAGCATCTCCTTCCATTTCCTTTAAAAGCCAGTGGGGAATCCTTTCTAAATTTGTCAAGTCCAAGAAATTATAGATCCATGGATTGGTATTAAGGAAAGGCTGTAATTTGAAAAGATTTATGTTAGTGCAATCAGAAAACCCGTCTGCAAACAGTCTTGCAGAACATCTGATGATAAAGCATGTTTAATGCTTGTTATCCTCCAGAATATCTTCAAGGAAAGTACATTCTGTTAGAAGAATTGAGTTTGCAACTGAGCTTGTAAGTCTTGTTCTGCACAGAGCTGTCTTTATTAAAACCAATTTTAGTGTCAGGGGTTCGTTCACCTCTGCATGCACAAACTGTTGACAAGACGTGCAGAGTGTCAGCCCATCCTATCCTGAAATATCTCTGCTGACTCACCCATCTCATGGAGACCATGTCAGTGAAATGAACTGTTGCTTGGTATGTCAGTGTCCAAAATGTGTTTCACTGGTGATCAAAATAGAAAAAAGATAGAATGGAAAAATTGCACCGTCTGCTGCCCAAAAATGAAATAGCAAGAGCAAGTGAGACTGGACTGTGCAGAACTTCAACAGCTTCTTGCCTCTCTCCAATGTTATAACACTGGCAGTGGTTGCTTACACACAGCTCTCATTGCCTGGGTTGTTCATGTAGCCATGCCAGGGATTTATGGACTGAAGGTCTCGCTGTGACAGACTGCATTGTTTAAGCACCAAACCTGAATAGCTCACTTCACCTAAAGCTGGACCTCTATCTTTCTACTCTGGGTAATTCCCTCCCCAGCTGAGCTACATAAATTTACTGCAATATTTTTTATGCTTTGCTGTGAGCATGATATTGATAATATTAATGTCTTTTTTCCTTATGATGTTTCTGTCTTTATTTGTTCTTGTCTCTTTGAATGGAGATTAATTTGCACTTGGAAAACTTGGTTTCCATATCACGTTTTATATATTTTCATTTTGACATGTCTGCACATTTCAGTATATTCCTATAATATAGATAGGATACTAAGTCATGAAATGGGCTGTTCTTTTAAGAGTGAACCTATGTATTCACAGTGTCAGTGTTTCTGTCTTAACAGTGACAGGCAGGCACTTCCCTGCAATCCCAATTTGATGGAAGATGATGTTTTGATTTTTAAAAGTAATTGAGAAATTGATACGTCCGAGTAGTTACACACCTTGAGTTTAACTGTATCATGTTGCTTGAAAAATACATCTTGTTGTCTTAAAGCATTAGGCTGACAGGAGGAATTGATGCTCCATTAATTTATTACAGAATATTCTAGTCAACGCATTGGCATCCTGTAGCTCTTAGCTAAAAATCAGATTTCTGAGAAGATATTGAAAAGCATCAGCTCAATAAAAAATTGTAAGCTTTCCACCCTAATACAGGGAATAAAATGCTGATGTAACACTGACTAAAGGCAGACTTTTGTTAAATCAGTAGAGAACCGAGTGAAATTACCCACAGAATTCATTTGGTTCTGTAATGTATGTGATTATTTCTCTGATAACCAAAGCTACACTACTTTAATCTCAGGTCCCTTTTTAAAGTTTCTGTAGACAGCAAAAAATTAAGTATTTGGAGATAATTCCTAGTTCAATAGACAGTGCTGCTTCTTTATTAGTGAATTCAGGGTAGCAATGAGTCCTGTACAGATTGATAATGCACTTTCTTAAACCTTTGTTGGAAAAGCCCCATATACTTATAGTTATTCCTCTTTACTCTTGCAATTTGAACTCTCTCAGACAGGAAAACATTTGAGATTATGACATAACAATTAGGACATTGTTCAAACACATCCCATCACCCATCAGCTCCGTACTGAGAATGTAAATTCTGCTACAAAGCGTAAATCTACACAACACCAGCTGTAAGAAGCTGCTGAGGACTCACGTTACACCAAGCTTTATGGCAGAGGGGTGAACCAGCATCACAAGTGTTGGGATTGGTTCAACATACTTCATTTATTCCTACATCTGCCATAATATTCCTAGAGAAAATTAAAGAAACTTGGGGTTTGATTGAGTGTGATATCTACTTACTTAAATACCTTCTTATTGGCCTCAGAAAAGAGAGAACCTGTTAATAAGGGGGTTTATTATCAAGTCAGTAGATATTAAGAAAATGATAAGGATATTATGTCATCAATGGAAATGAATCAATGAATAATATAGTGCAAAAAGGTCCCATTTGCTTTGAGGTGGTTTTGGAAAGGGCACATACAGGGTGGCACTTCCAGTCTATTGTGTCCAGCACCGCAGGCATCAGTTCCTGTGCCCCTAAAAATGCTTCTACTCTGACAGCTTTCTGGAGTAACATTTTCTTAGGTCACAGAAAACATAAAATGAAAAAGTGTTATTTAAATTAATTAATAAAGAAAGCTTTTCAAGAAGAATGGGATCAATATTAACTATAGTGAAGGAATCTGCTGCTGTGATTCTTGGCTTAATGTCTTGAAATAAATCTTTGTGTTCTTCAGAGTGAATCTTGAGCTTTTGTAGTAATAACAAGAGGAGACTGTCATATCAAAGTGTATTACAAACATTAAAGGATACTTAAACTGAAGGCTATTTTCTACACATTGTTAATGAACCAAGAATTCAACATTAATAAATTATTATAATATATAACAATGATGTAAGGATGGGAAGAAGACCCATCATTAGGATTTATATTCCCACACATGAGTACATTCATACAACATGTATACACACAAGCATGTCTCGTATATAAATGTCCTGTCTTTTCATTTTCCATTTGCCATATGGCCAGGACAATTAGATATTATATTTGTTTATAAAGGAGCAACATAAGATACTGCCATGCATAGAAAATCATCCAAGGGGCATAATTTAAACTGCCAATGCATGATGTCTAGTAATAGCAGAGAACAACATGAACAAATCAAAGCCACATTTAGTTCATAGTCTGGAAATCTTTTCTGAATCCTTTTCACCATGGTCAAATGGTTCCAACTTCTATAGAAACATCCTTTTAGGAGGTAAATAAGGGAAAATAGATCTTATGTCTTGTATGTTTCGTTGCAGCTGGGTCGGACCCTCCGAAGTCCTTTCATGAAGTTTGTGGCACATGCAGTTTCTTTCACAATCTTCCTTGGACTGTTAGTAGTGAATGCATCAGATCGGTTTGAAGGAGTGAAAAATCTCCCCAACGAGACCATCACGGATCATCCAAAACAAATATTTAGAGTCAAAACAACTCAGTTCTCATGGACAGAATTGCTGATCATGAAGTGGGTACTGGGTAAGCAAAACCAAAGTGTCTATGAGTCCTCCAAGATCGAAGAAGACTTTGATCTTGGTCACCGCTTTTGAAGATACTGAATGATGTTTAGCAAATTCTCACTTTCCTGATTTTCCATGTTGAATGCCATAGGGGTTGTTTGTTTGCCTCTTGGTGTAATCATTGCATCTTAAAATAAGTAATATAGTCATAGAAACTCGTAGCTTTGCTGTTAAGACATTGCTATATCAAAAGTGAGCAGAAAGAAATGTGTTCACTGGGATGTGGGTGACCACCAAACTCTTTTATTACCCTGCTATGACATCTGTTTATATTAAGGATTAATGAGCCTCGATCTTCACTGAACTGAATAACCTCTGGTTCTTCATCTGCAAAATGGGTATTTATTTTCTTGTAAGCTATAGATGTCCTTGTAATGAACTCTGAGACCTAGTGATGAAAACTGTTAGGTTTAGAAGGGTTGGATTTTATAAAATCCATTGTATGTATCGTTACTGGTGAAGGAACAGCACAGAGTTCACATCTTTTAAAAGGAATTCAGTTATCCAGCAATTATAAAGTAGGGTTTCATATGGATAAACCCTTCAAGTGCAAAAGTATGTCACATGCACAGCTTAAACTTCCAGGGAGTTTTAGGCAAATTCAGGTATATTACTTTTCCTATAGGCATAATTTATTCCTGGCAGGTCAGCAATCTTGAACCATTCGTCCAAACAAGCTCAGAAGGATTTATTGGGAAATTGAGCCTACCAAACCTGCAGAATCTTTCCTGCCTCTTCTGTATCTATTTTTACTCACCACCATGATCTTGATTCTCTTCTTGGAGCAAATTCCACTGTTCCAAAAATACCAATGGCATTAAACACCCTTGAAAAATAGGATAAGGCTGCTCTATCTGATGGCTTCCTAGGCACCATTTCTTTGTTCCCTGTCTCCACAATAATCAGAACCCCATACAGGATATTAGGTTAGAAAATACGGAATAGATGCCAGACTGGATAAAGTAAGTCTGTAAGATGCATTTTAAAAATGATACTAAAACAGTTGGACCAAGATGATTAGATTTTAGATCAGGTATTCTTTTCTTATAGGTACTAGATATCTGCCTGCCTGGTAACTTCCTGAGAGATGAAAAAGAAAACATTTAATTTAAAGCTAAGGTTTTCACTTTTCTGGGAGAGGAAAGGCGATTCATTGTACAGATTGCTGAATATAATGAGATTTTCTAATGACTGCCTACATCAGCACTGGCAATATTCTCTGGCCATTTTACCTGTCTCCCCACATAAAGCCTTCAAATAATGGTTCAGCAATGCTATGGTGAAAGTTTGATGCACGTGGCTTGCAGATAGCTGTCACAGGGGCTTTGCCATTTGTTGAGCTCCAAAGTGACCTTAAAGCACTGTAAAAGTGCTAAAGGGGGAGGACTGCCCAGCATTTTTGGTGCAAAAATCTTACAGGTATTATAAATATCCATATAGAAGTAGAAATATAATCAAATAAATGTAGATTTTATAAAGAAATATCACAGGTAAAGCTGCCAAGAAATTATTTTCCAAAGAGACAAATGGAAATACAAAGTTTATGCTAAAGTATAACAAATTTAACTCTTGTGTACTAAATGCACAGCTGTATTTAAATCTACCCGACAAAACCTGCAGTTGCTGTCTCCAGACTAAACAGTGTATGTGTGCTACCTTTAGTTTGTTTCATAGTATGATCAAAAAGTGTAATTTTATTTATTCTCAGCCTGTAAATCGCTTCCTTCTGTTTCTCTTCTTTCTCCTTCCTCCTTCACACTGTGGCAGCAGTGATGAATGCTGATAACACATTACTGGCTCCAACAATAGCAGGCCGGTTTTGAGAAATTAGCTTACAGGTCCCTGATCTTGGTTCTTTTTTGGGGAGAAAATTGGCTGTCTGCGTTATCTGCCTGTCAACCATGAAATTATGATGCACATTCAGAACAGCCTTATTCGAGGAGAATGTGTTACATTAGCATAGCGTAGTGTGGCCACAAGCAAGCACAACCTGTAATAGCAGTCCCTGCAATTTGTCTTGCTGGAGATATTGAAAACTGATCCATGTGTGTGTATCTTAAGAGAAAACTACCAGTAGGAGAATTTCAGACTGGGATTATGCAAAATGATACCAATGCCATTTCCTGCTCCCAGCTACTTGTAATGGAGGTGGGTAATGGAGTAAATCGAGCAGGGGCAGTGACTTTCAGCCAGGCAAGCACTTCATCCTGCTCCAGAAATCCATATAAGAGGCTTTACTTTCCATTAGCCTGCACCTCCAAAATGGCTATAGAGCATTGTTGAATCAGACAGGTAATGCTGGTAGCCCATTTAACATCCCCACAAGCAGCCAGACAGCATTTTAGGTGGGAGAATGCCTTTTTGGTCTCACTCCTCTTTGTTATGAAAAAGCATCCAAGAGCTACAGATTGTTAATCTGTTAGTGCAGAGAAAAAGCATTCTATTGTGCTCTGAGAGGAGAACTTGCCCCCTTATACATGGGACACAGCAATTTCAGCTAAAGCATCTGTGGCTGATTGTATACCTTGGCTACCTCTTCTTTTCTCTCCCATTCAAGTGAGGAAGGCTGTGATTTTCCTTGTGCACAACAGGAACAAGAGTGAGCATTGAAAGCAGGGAGGTTTATTTAGATAAAATCCCCACTGCAGAAGCAGCCAAAGTAGCAGTTAAGCCCTGGGTAGACACAGTCTGAGCACAAGTCTCTCTCTTAATCCAACAGCCCTTGATGGATCCAGGAAGGCTCAAAGTCAGCTCTGCAACATCATCTGCTTGTGATTTATGTACCAGGCCAGTGACTATAAAACTCAAACTGTTCCTTTCTGTGCACAGGTGGTGAGCAGTGCTTCTTGTACACTTCCATTTTTCTTCCAGACGGGCTGTGCCTGCAGCTTGACTCTATTGTGAAAAGAGTGGTTGGGATCACTCAAAGAATCACCATCAGCAATGGCAGCAAAGTGATTTAAATACAAATTTATAGAAGTGTGATTCAACAGAATTTGATGCAAGATTCATTCTACTCCATACAAAAGGAAATGGTGTCAGAACTGATAATGATTTATACAGAATCAAGCTTAAGTGTTTTATACAGAATTAGACCAATGTGATGTGTACAGCAACTGGGGATGTAAGGGAAGAAGGAGGATCCTTCTGTTGAGTCTTGAGGTTCAGAACAGACCCTGTTGCTTTCTAAACTCCTGACAGAACACAGATGCAGCTGGATCTAGTCTGAGTGTCACACTTGGTCAACAGTATTCATTTAAAGGGTTACAAGTGTCATTTAGCAGCAGTTTGCAGTTCTAAGGTGAATCACAAGTTTTCTAGCAACACTTGATTATGAAGGCTAATGTACACACACTTGCAATTAAATATCTAAACCAAGACAGGCAGATATGTATACACATACACACACATATATATACACATACACTCACATAGGTATGCATATAAATATTTATATATATGTATAAAGGGTCCTGTTAAAAACTTCCCTTGGGTGCAGTGAAAATACATCAGCTTTGTCAGCATTCCTCAATGGGCAAAAGGTTGAGTATCAGTGAGCAGAAGTAATGGCCCAAGTAGAGTCCTCCTGTGTCCCACTCAGAGAGAGCTGAGTCACAGCCTTCCGGGGTCCCAGAGAGCTCAAAGGTCCTCTCTCTTGGGACAATTAAGCTGCTTATATCCCACTTCCCTGTGTGTCAAACTCTGGGAAACGACCTCTCCCAGAAGCACTGAGACCTCAGAAACACCATACTGGAATGTAATTACATCGGGGCAAATCTGCTTTGCCTCATCACCTTCCCTTATTTCTTACATCTCATCTTAAGTCTCATCCCGTGAATTTCAGCTGCTTTTTCTCTTCTCGCTCTTTCTTAAGGAGAAGCTTCGAATTATTCTCCCACAATGTATATACAATTACACAGGAGTTCTGACCAAGTAATTACTGTAACTTTTCTTCTTGTCCTGAACAGACATTTTTCCATGTGTATGGATAAAAAATGATTGCCACACCGTTGACGAAAAGAATGATGTAAATTACAGTCCAATAGTGTGATACTTCCGCAAAGTGATTCTAATTTTAGTCAGTCTACTCAGTTTTAGACATTTCTTCATTAATCTGTGACTTAGGTATATTAAGTGACTAAGATTAGAAATAAATGTGGATGGGAGAGTTAATATTTAAACCAGAAAAGACATTTTGGGCACCAGTGAACAAGTGCTTTGGTGGGCAATGTTACCACTCGTGATATTTCCAGAAGGGCTTTAGTACCTTTGTACAACATGTATGCGTAATGCATAGGACAAATGGCTCCTACGTATCACTTCTAGAATACTTTTTTAAGCTAGAAATGTTTCTTCAATATTTTATCCTGGCTCCAGGACACTTCCTGAGAAACCGATTCTTCCACCTTGTCCCTGAAGCTATTTATTATTAAATCTTACTCGTGGTGCATGACAGCTTGGGATGAAGTTCCTGCTTCCAGTCTGCCATGCACTTGAGGACTCAAGAAGAGCTGGGATGCTCCTCTCCTGCTCTCCTTCTGGCTCTGCTCAACACTCAGGAGACCTCTGGCTCTCTCCCAAGACAGATCTATATGGAGCAGAACCTATAGCAACATATATGTTGAGGGACCTGGGTGGAGATTCCAGGTCTATGGAGGGCACCCGCTGTTCCTTGGCCAATGGTAGTATCAATAGTGTAGCTTTCTTTTTCTCTCAAATCCTTCCCCATGCAAGGACTGACAGCAGGAGCTCTTCATTCCTCCATCCTCCAGCTAGGTTCTCTCTGACTTGTTTCCTTCCCTATAACTCTGTCTTCAGCTGCATCTCTTGGGACATCACGTGCTTCCAGGAGTCTCTGAAGTAGCCAAGCAAATGCAATTACATGCCACACCACGAGAGCTTCCAGCAAAGAGGATGAAGCAGAGTTCACAGAAAGGACAAGGCTGCAGGAGGCCACATGGAAATTGGCAGACACTGCTCCTGCTTGGTTAAATGTGAATTTTACTGCTGCTATGGAAACAGGATTCAATAGAGTGCAGGAAATATTTATCAGTGGGTTAAATATTCTGCTATTTTAGCTATTCAGAAGCAAGATCCTGGCTCTGAAGCCCTGCTGTGATTGAAATTTGGGCAAGTTGGTGAATTTGACCTGAGCTCTTGGCTCCAGTTTGCCTGCTGAATTCACCTGTCCTCGCCAGCACTCCCAGTAGAATATGCATGTCAAATGCTTGAATTATCTGGGTTTGGTGCTTAGGTTTATCCGAGCCTATTGTCAGAAAGATCCTAATTTCAGTGTTTTCAAAGTTGTAGTTCAGACTTGAACATATGAAAACTCATTGCTATTTTTTCCAGATAGATCAGCAGTAGGATTTTCTATTGTCCTCACTATTTCTGATCTGTGCTTTCTCTGACATCACCAGGAATCTACTATACCATTGACTAATATAGTGAAATCTTGACATTTCTACCTCATAATGCACAAAGGAAACATAAGCTTAAAGTTTTGATGATTTTTAGAAGTTTATGCAGACCATTCTCAAGAAATTTGGTTCAATTGAAGAGTCATTTGCTTGTTTTAGAAGATACTGTTAGCCAGGGAGCAGGTCTGCCCGAATACAAAAAGCACCTTCTGTGTTTGCCCGTTAAATGTGGTCTGTCCTTTCCGCAGGCATGATATGGTCAGAGTGCAAGGAGATCTGGGAAGAGGGTCCACGCGAATACGTGGTGCACCTCTGGAACCTGCTGGACTTTGGGATGCTCTCCATCTTCGTGGCATCGTTCACTGCCAGGTTCATGGCTTTTCTCAAAGCAACTGAAGCACAACAGTACGTAGATCAGTACGTTCAAGATGATGACCTCAATAATGTCACCCTTCCCCCTGAAGTTGCTTATTTTACTTATGGTAAGATGCTTTTTGCTATCTAATGCTTCCAGTTTTCTAAGGCTAATGTGTGGCAGTGCTGAAAGCAGCTTTCTTTTTGTGATATTTATGTGGCTTTTTTTCTGATTAAACCAAATTATTCTGCTTAGATCTACCCATTCCAGCCATCTTCCTGAAGAGTCAGAAAGAAACTGAGATCTGAGCCTCATTCAGTCTCTGATCTTATGTTACGGCCACATTCAGGTCAATCACATCCTCATATAATAGCTTGAGCAATAAATAATCAGGAACTGATAGTGAGTAGAATATAATTTAAATTACAGATTAATGAACCTGCTTGGCTTTCCAAATGTGAGAGGAGGGAGATGTGTGAATATACGTAGGATCTGGAGCTGCATTTCTAGCTGTTGGTGCACTCTGCACCTCTGTTACATACAACAGCTGTATAATGGGAATACAAAATCCAATTACACCCATAAAGTTCTGCTCCTCCAAGAGAAAAACTATTTTTGGAGAGCCTATATCATCTGCTAGCATTTGGAAATGCGAGCAGCAACATAGCCTTTAAACATCCTTTTTGATGGCTGAAATGGTTTCACTTTGATACTCATAAATAAATAGAGCTTTGCACCTCAGTGTGGGGACTGGATTCATTGCATGCCTCTGCAAGCTTCAGATATAACCCTGAGCAAAATCCATGGGGATTCCCACCATTGTGCACAGCCATGGGCTCAGCTTCCTGCCTGGTGTGTAAGCTTCCTTCTCCCTGCCAAGCCAAACAGGAGGCCACTGCGATGGTAGATCATAGAATCATAAAATGGAAAGGACCTTAAGACCATCCAGTTCCAACCCCCCTGCCATGGGCAGGGACACCTCACACTAAACCATGGCACCCAAGGCTTTGTCCAGCCTGGCCTTGAACACTGCCAGGGATGGAGCATTCACAACCTCCCTGGGCAACCCATTCCAGTGCCTCACCACCCTCACAGGAAAGAACTTCTTCCTTATACCCAATCTAAACTTCCCCTGTTTAAGTTTTAACCCCTTACCCCTTGTCCTATCCCTACAGTCCCTAATGAAGAGTCCCTCCCCAGCATCCCTATAGGCCCCCTTCAGATACTGGAAGGCTGCTTTCAGGTCTCCATGCAGCCTTCTCCAGGCTGAACAGCCCCAACTTTCTCAGCCTATCTTGATATGGGAGGTGCTCCAGTCCGCTGATCATCCTCATGGCCTTTCTCTGGACTTGTTGATGTGTGACTTGATGATGATGTGGTTTTCTTCTCTGTGGTTTGCTGCTGACCCATTTAAAGTAAGTTCATGACACTAAGGTGCAAAGGGTCCAGAGCAGAATGTCACAACCAGATCCTGCGAATGCCTCCATCAGCTGCTTTTCCTTTGGTTCACATTACTGCAAACGATGCCTAAGTTTACTTCTGTGTTGCATATTTTAACTCTGACTTACAATCTTTTCATCAAGAAGCTCAGTTGATGCAAGGAAACTTACAAGCTGTATTAATATAAATGTTCAAATTTTGAGTAGATAAAATAAATGATGCATATCTGGTTATCACCAAGAAGCTTTTTGATCTAGGAATATTAGAGTGACTAGACTGCAAAGATTGGTTTTAATTTAAAGTTAACATGAAAATGGTACACTTGATAGTTATATCTGCTCTATCTGAAAGATTATGAACTTTCTTATCTAATGGTAGAGATAGAGATCTCAGTCTCCCTAATGCTTCCTTTCCAAATATTGACACGGTGCCATATATCCAAATCTATAGCTAAATTCCACTGTGGTGGTTTTGGTTCTGCATCACAAGAGCTTCAGATGGAAAAGGCACTGATGTACAAGTTGGAAACAGAAAATACCAACTTTGTTTAAAGCCAAGCTGTTTATTTGTTGTGTGGCTTTGGTAAATCCCAGTGACTTGCTCGTTTCTCATTTTTGCCGTGTAAAAACCACAACTAATTCTTCTCACCTATATTTGTACAGCATGCTGAGGACTTCAGTGACCAGTGACTTGTTGACTTCAGTGACTTGTTCCAAAACTCTTTTTTTTTCCTTTAACTCCTGCCCAAATGCAAGGTTCAGTCTTCACAAAGGGCTCATTTTTCATAACAGCTTCCACCTAACACTTTTTGTTACTAATACCTAGTGTACATGTATTGTTTTAGCCAGGAACAAGTGGCTTCCCTCGGATCCTCAGATCATTTCAGAAGGACTGTATGCAATAGCTGTGGTACTCAGCTTCTCCCGCATTGCTTACATTCTTCCAGCCAACGAAAGCTTCGGTCCCCTGCAGATCTCTTTGGGGAGGACTGTGAAGGATATCTTCAAGTTCATGGTCATCTTCATCATGGTGTTCCTGGCCTTTATGATTGGAATGTTCAATCTCTACTCCTACTACCTTGGTGCAAAATACAACCCTGCCTTTACAACGTGAGTACCCATGGAAAAGCAGCTGGGTTTTACAGGGGTCCATCTACTCTGGTCCGTTGTTGCTGCAAGGTCTGCTCAGATAGTTGTTAATACAGCTGTGTGGGGAAATCACATCCAGATTTCACCTGGAACCTTATGCCACAGCATCAAGGCCTGATCACAGGGAGATGTGTAGCTCAGAAATGGTTATTTCTCAAAATCAAAATAACAGATCAGGAAAATGTGCGAGACATCCGGTATAATGAGTCAAGAGTAGTGGGGAAGAGGTTTAGTGGGGAAGAGGTTAGACTTAAGGTTATTGTTCTTAAAACTGCAAGCCTAAATGTACGTAAAATAAGGGAGAATTTTGCCTGCCTGAGGTTGGTTTTAGGATACCACCTGAGCGCAGCTGCAGTTATTAGCTGCAGTTATTAAGTGCACATCTGCAGAGCCAGCTGCCAGTTATGATGCTCTAAAGAGCAACTAAAATCAGGGTGTCTAGGATGTGTTTTTTAAATCCTGAGTAGGAACTTTCCATCAAAAGCCATGTGAAAGCCTTGGGGACATGATTGGGACTTGCCTTCCCACACACCCGTCTGTGAGGGAAGAGGAAATCTTGGCATAATGTTTTCCCTTCACCTTCTCTAACGTGCCATACAGTGAGCTGGGGTTTAGCTCATAGCCCCTCTAGGAGAATTGACCTTTTCAGCATTGTTTCTACCCCGCAGGTGCCTGTTTCCTTCCAAATGCACAGCAGCCAGTTTTATCACACCACCCTCGTGTGCAATATGTACCCTGTAACATGGTGTCTACTTTCTCCAATTGAGCCAAATGTGCCCTCTAGACCTTTCCTGTAACCTCAAGATACATTTTAATGGAAGGATTTATGAGGCCAGATGCAATTACATTTATCTGTGCTTGGTAGTAATGTAGAAGAAAATTGGGTGTGTGGGATGTGACTTGCTTATTTGAGGACAGGGAGATGCCCTTGAAGCACAAGACTTAATAAGAAGTTGAGCTGATACCATCCTTGACTGCCTGGTGGCACAGTAACCCTTGGTTATGGTATTCCCAGGCACATTACTAGAGAACAGTCACTGACTAATTCCAGTCTCTGATGCAATGCAGTTCAATAACTTTCTCATTAGCACTCATTACCTAAATGGATCTTCCAATAGGTGCTATTTTTGATGGCAATAATGAGCAAACATTGACTAAAATCATGATTGCTCACTGGAGTAAAAATTACTTAAATGCCCAAGGGATGTTTAGATCAGGGAGAGTCTTGACAAAAGGCAGTGCTTTTCCTCCTTCACTTCAACCTGCTGACTACTTATTCTGGAGGGACTTCAAGTTGTTATGAGCATAAATTTCCCTTTAAGAATGTGGAAGAGTTTCAGATAGACTTACTTTCTTCTGATTATTTAAACATACGGGAGCGTCAAATGACAATCAGTGAAAATGAGCCCTTTCATCATGCGAAACAAAGAGAATAGATTAACACTCATCCCAAAAATCCTTCTCAAATGCTTCATTCAACAACCTAGAAACCCTGAGGTACAGTCTCAAACACTTTTAATAAGCTAATTACGAGGTTATAGTGGCAGATGGGCAGCTACCAGCCCTAGCAATGTTTCCTTCTCTATTTTTCATGAGCTGCCCATGGGCCTTGCTGAAGGTGCTGGGCTCCTTCTGTCATTAACTTGTTTATGGAAAGAAGAAAGATTTCAGTATGAGAGCTGAATAGGGAACTCAAATGTTCATTCATTGAAAATTCAGTGGGACAAAAGGATCACGCTTACTTTGGTGTCCCCATAACCATGCTGTGACTTCAGAGGTGTTGCTGAATGCCTTTCCTGGTGGTATGTTTGTGAATTCTGATGAAGATGGGTGAAATCTTACAAAAAAGCAGGCTTTATACTCAGAAATGTGGCTGTTCACCTATTGGGCCCAATTCCCAGAGGTCACTTGGCTAGACATGAGCGAAAAAGACACACTGAATCTGTGCACTGATTGATTGTGGCCCCTTTCAAAGGGCATTGAATTGATAGCTCACTGAGTAGCCTCAGGGAGAAACCTTAGGCAAACAGCTACTCACTGAAATAACTTTGAATTACACATTTAAGAGAACCACAGCTTCCCAGGACAGGATACAGGAAGAAAAGGGTGTACATTTGTCCAGATAACACTCAGAGGGGGTTTCTTGCTGAGATCTAATAGTGAGAGTGAATGTTTGGTGAACTTAGCTTTCATCTTTCCTTGATATTGCACTTTTGAGATCACGTCTGTTTTGCTTGTGTTGCCATTTACAGAGTAAGTGTGTGGCACCCCAGTGGCCTCTGAACCCAGTTATTGTGCAAAGGTTTTGTCATTTCTTCCATTTTAATGTTCTGGATGTAAAGGAACCAAAGACGCTGTGGACTTGGCTTCACCCAGTTAAATACAGAGGTTATTTCACTAAGCGGGTATACTTTCAAACTGCTTGGAAGTTCTGCAATGCTGAAAAGTCGACCAGTTTCCACGACAGTTGCAACCAACCCCAGCTATGTTTATCTGTTTATTGCAAGCTGTGTACAGAACACAGCTCTTGAAACAGCCTGTAATTAAGAACAGGCTATGCAAACAAAATCAGAATGAAGGCAGGGCTGATTGTGTTCGTCTTGCTTTCCGCATCACAAATCAGGCTGAAGGCTACAACAGGAGGTTTTCTGTCTCCCTTTCCCCAAAGGGAAATGTGACTCATTGCTCGGTGCCAATGTTACTTCGAGGCTTGAAGGCTTTTTCCTTCTCATTTGCCTTTATCAAAATGCAATATTTGTGTAGATTATAATGACTGCATCGCTTTTCTGGCAGTGTTAAATCTCAACCAATCAGTTAATGAAGTAAGCCTGAAAGGATGCCTGAAGCTTTCTTAGAAAGGACACAAGATTGACATGAAATCATAGCCTTGCTGAGATCTGTTTTGATGAACAGCACACTGCTGTTTAGAAAAGCGAGGCAAATCTGCAACAAGACGGTTGCTTATGGTCTGTTTTCTTCCTTGATGCAATATCCTGGTTTAACTTTTACAGGACTGTGTGTATTGAAACAAAAAAGACTCTCTTCTCTCTTCCCACTGCAACAGTTAGCTCTAGCACAGCAGAGAGAGCTTGCAGTGTACCCATGTCTATTAGGGGTATTGCCACTTCGTTTGTCTGCCTTTGAGAAGGCTAAAACACCCACTGACCTTGCAGGGAGGGGGTATATTGCTTAGCTGGCAATGATGGGGCACGTCAGCATCTTGGAGTCTTTGAGAACTTGGCTTCAGGCATCCTTGTCTCGTGTTTTAGTGGCAGGTTCTGAACAAATAACCCCAGCTGATGTTCCCTGCGACCTGTGCCAAATCTCATGCAATTTGGCAGTAATCTAAAAGGGAGAAGGAAAGAATCATCCAGCCTTTTTGGAGGGTAAGGATGGATTAGTACAAGCTCTCCTTAGAAATGTTTCTTCTATAAGAGGAGGACTGCTTCTGCATAGGAGCATTGCTAAGCACCCTTTTTGGGATGCTACAGATCAGGTCCACCTCTAGCACCACTTTCCCAGTCCCATCGCCATCAGCACCAGTCCCTCACCCTTACTGACACTGAAACAAGGATTATGGACATGTGCATGGAACCTGGCACCCTGGCACTTGCCTGCTTCTTTTGCAGTGATCGGGGCAGACAAGGCCACTCACGGTCCTTAATTAACTTTTCAAGGAGAACCTGGCATCACTCCAGTACAAAGGTTAATGCTTAAGCTGCCGAAAAGGAGCGGAGTTGACAAGTTGTATTAAAATCTGCCTGCAGGGAGGAAAGCAAAGGGAACCTTTCCAAATTAGAAAGGGAAGGTTAATAGCAGGGTGCAGCTGGGATCAAGGCTGGGGGTTATGGCTTTTACTGCTTTGATAAGCGACTTAGGTGGTGGGTTTCAAAGTCACCGATTTCTGGTGTTATATGTGTTCCTTAACTGGAATGTACAGAATAAGCACTGGCCAGATTGCTACCATAAAACAAGGGTATCTGACACATTCATGACAGCTTCATTTTGGTGCAGATGAGGGCAGGAGACAAGAGCAGAGTGCTACAGTGGAAGAAATGTCCAGAAAGAGGAAAAGTGATGGCACTTGTTTGCAGCACAGTTACAGCTCATCCCACAAATGCTATCTCTGCATGGTGTCCCAGTCTGGTGCAGAACAACAAGAGGAGGAGAAGATGGTATCTTTGACTAAAGACAAAGCCACATCTTAAATGAAGTTGTTCAACATCTATTTGAAACACCACCCAAGATTACTCCCCACAAGTTAATGCAGTTATACTAGCTGAGAATGATACCTAATTTTTTACTGCAGCCATACTACTACTTATAAATAGAACATAGAATACCATATGGTGGGAGATAAATACCAGTTTGCTTGGGCAGAAAGGAACTGCCCAGTGCTGTGCACCAGCCTTTCAAAGGGTTGAAATTAATTTATCTTGCTTTTATACATGGTGTAATTGATACTGCAGATGATGTAAAGCTCATTGTTCCCTTAGGATACGCCACAGTTTGTGTCTATAATCTGTTTTTATAAACAGATTTAGCAGGATTAGGCTGTCACCCCAGTACAAAGCTGTTCATCAAAACAGTTTGTCAATGGCATTGTTTTCTTAGGGGTGTTTAAGTCCTGGCAGGCAGGGGGAGAGCAGGCAGTTAACTCTTAACATGCTCAGTGTTGTTCAGGGAAGGCAAAATCACTTGTAAATTAAAAATGCACCAGCATCACTTCTTTCTTCCTTTTCAGCTGTGGTTGCTCCTCTCTGCCTGTTACAGCTTTGACTCCTCTGAATCAGGCTCTTCTTTTGACCTGTCAATCCAGCTGCATCCTTTCCAGCCATGCTTCTCCTTGTCCTTGGCTTATTCCCCTTTTTTACCTGCCTATCTTTCAACCTTGTTTTCCTCTGTTCCTTTCTAATTTCAAGCAAGGGTCATAAGTCAAAATGCCTCTCTGCAACATCTCCTACCACTCCTTAATCGCAGATCTGTGCTACAGATGCTTGGGCATCTGGTTTGTTTAGAGTCTTGAAGCAAGGTGGAAAGAAAATAGACTACGATCTGGCTATATTTGCACTCTGTGTTCTTCATATTAAATCAGAACATTTCATTCACTTCTTCTGGGTAAAATGTAATGCTTCTCTTCTGCCCTGGAAACTGCATATAAGGTGGAAAGTCAGACTAGGTTCCTCCTTTCCCTTCCCTGGTAATCTTCGCCTGTGTTCTCTGGATGAGGAAAAGGTGAGTGAGTGGAAGTAAAAAGCCTTACCCTAAAAGTTTCAAACTCTGAGTTGCCCATGGAGAAGTCATCCTTAATAAGGTCACAAAATCCAAGTGGCAAATAATGCCCCTGAGAGAACAGATGGAGCAAAATGGGGAAGCTGTAATTTTATAGTATTAATCGGAAATCCTATTTCCTTACCAAATCAGGGAATATTTGGCATACCCCTGGGTGATGGTTAATGGCTCACAATGCCTGTGCCAAGGCATCATATTTATATTGCTGGATTGCTGCTTTTATTATTAGCATTTTGCCAGGCTTACCTGGTGCCAACTCTCTAAAGTGATTGTTTCCTTTATTTTTAGGGTAGAAGAAAGTTTTAAAACCTTATTCTGGTCAATATTTGGCTTATCTGAAGTGATATCTGTGGTGCTGAAGTACGATCACAAATTCATTGAGAATATTGGATATGTACTCTATGGAGTATATAATGTGACTATGGTGGTGGTGCTGCTTAATATGCTAATAGCCATGATCAACAACTCCTACCAGGAAATTGAGGTAAGATAAGAAATTAGATTACATACTCAATGTACTTAATTATCAATGATAATGGAAAGGTTAAAAACCAAGGAAGTTGTAGCTTATTCCAAGGTTAGTGTGCTTACAGTGTGCGAATTTAAGGCTGTGTCAGTCCCCGTATTAAAACTGAATTAATAATTCACAATAAATCATTTTTAGAACAATTTCAACTTCCTTTTTTTAATGACCTTCTGTGAGTAAATCCAATTTCCTTTACATGTATTTAATGAAAGTGCTTTGTGATATTTTTCACTCGCTGTGCTGGCTGTGCTGATTTATCCACGTGTTACCTTAGCTGCATCGTTCGCTTATGATAGAGTGATACTTCTTTCTTTCCACCCTGTTCACTGCTGAAACACTCAGGTCCTTATGGGTCTAAAGCTCATATGCATACTTAAAGTTCCCAATTTTCCAAATACCAGGCATAGCAACACAACTGCATGGACATTCACAAAAAACTGTCTTTAAAGGGTATGAACACAGCCCTCAAGGAATATGAATGGGTTTCTGCAGAATGGTGTTTGCAGGGTTTACCCAGCCTTGTTCAGTAGTATAACTATTAGCAGACTGGATTTGCTAAATGCTTTGGACTTAAACAACTCTCTGCTAATGTGAATAAAGGCATAAGAAATACATTATTTGGATAATGCTAATGCTGAGTCACCTCTTCTGATTTGTTAAATGTCACACTTCTGCAGCAGGGCTTGTATTAATGATTTGTTCTCATCTCCCTTAGAACTTGACACTGCAAAACCCAGAGCTAGAACTATTTTGACTGATTCACCCATGTAGTGCAAATGAATTCTACCTATCTTGTGCGTGCTGTAACTAAGTCTAAATGTCAGAGAGAGCTTACCTGTGTTCTCTGCCCCAGAAGCTTTTTCTGCATGCAGAAAGCAATGTATCCAAAGGTTTCTAATCATTTAAGATACAGCATCTTCCTGAATCCTCTTCTGCTGAAACAAGATTCACTTCTGAAGGGGTCACAGCCTCTTACTGCATTTTCCTAGTTTATTGTAGTAGGTTTCTGAAGAAAAATCTCTAAAGATCCTGAATAGATGGCCTATATTATCTTCCCAGTCTAAACTCTGGATGGCCATTTTCCTGGCAAAATGCTTTATCATTCTTATTGATTGTGTGGAAACTTTCTCAACTTTGTTAAGGACTACTTTTAACTATCAGCAAGCAAAACAAGGGTGAGCTATTCGGTCCAGGTCTTCCTACCTGAGGACTGGGGAAAACTGGTAAATCTCATTCTAATTCATTCCAGTCCTGAGTAGCAGGGAGACTGAAGGTAGAGGCAAAGAATCACAGAATCATTTAGGTTGAAAAAGACCTTTAAAATCATCAAGTTCAATTATTAACCCAGCACTGTCAAGCCCACCACTAACCCATGTCCCAAAGTGCCCCAGCTACATGTCTTTTAAATACCTCCAGGCATGGTTGAAGCTACCACTTCCATGGGCAGCCTGTTCCAATGCTTGACACCCCTTTTAGTGAAGAGGTTTTCCTGATGCAACTTGAGGCCATATTTTCTTACCCAAGGAAATAGGAAACAGTCTATTTAATTGGGAGGATTTATGCTTTTGGTTATCCATTGCTTTGTTCAAATTGTCCGTATTTTGAGATTACCACAGAGAAGCCCACAGAGATGCATTTTGAGCATGGGTCTTGGTCTGTCAAACAGAATCTGATTGTGGTTAAATCCTACCTGTGTGTTTGTTCTTGTCATAGCTAAATCTCTCCCTGTTTACTAATTATCCATTTGGGTGTTTGGGTTTTTCTTCCCTTTTCCCTTCCCAAGGAGGATGCAGATGTGGAGTGGAAGTTTGCACGTGCCAAGCTCTGGCTATCCTACTTTGACGAAGGAAGGACTTTACCTGCTCCTTTTAACCTAGTGCCAAGCCCGAAATCATTTTATTATCTCATACTGAGAATAAAAATGTGCCTCATAAAACTCTGCAAATCTAAGGCCAAAAACTGTGAAAATGACCTGGAGATGGGAATGCTGAATTCCAAACAACGGGTATGTTATATCTTCACTTTTCAACTCCTATGTAGAAAGGATTCGTGCCAGGGACCTTCTGGAGCGGGTTGCATGGAGTACCAGTGATTAGGGACAGCACGGCCTTACCATTGTGTTTTATATGTAGTATGTATAATATATATACTATATATAATATACTATACTATACCATACTATATTAATAATATACTATAATATACTAATATGTATACTATATATTATATATATGGTATATATAATATAGTATATAGTATAGTATATAATATATATGTACTGTAAGTATATAAGTACTATAAGTACTATATATAAGTGCTATAGTATATAATATAGTATATATAATATACTATACTATACCATACTATATTAATAATATGCTATAATATACTAATATATATACTATATATAATATATATATACTATATATATTATACTGCAGCTAGAGAGTTCTCCCAGGCTTATGGCCTCACTATACTGGGCACTTTTATAAGGGAGTTTCCCAAGGCCAAATAAGCAAGGTCAAAGCTGAAGGGTAGAAGCAGAGGCACAAAGAGGCTCCCAGCTTGTCTGACTCCCCATCTACCCAGCAGGCCTTTGTGCCACCTTCCTTTAAAGCAATTTCCAAATTAATTTTGCTGTCATTACAACGTTTACTGCCATTCCAGGTTTGAGAACACGTTTCTAAGCAGGGTTTAATAACACCTTCTAAATGCCTAAAGCTATGATTAACAGCCTCTCTACTTACATCTGCCTAGTGATGTGTAGCCACTAATGGGTAGATTCTGCCTCAGCCACCTCCCCTTTGGTCATTAAAATAGAAGTTTGCTTTGGGAATCCTGGCTACATGGCAACAGGCTTTCCTCAGCCCAAGTGAGTGTCAGCATGACAAAGCAAGACAGATATGTAGGAGTATGCTTAGCATCCAGACCCTTCCTCCTTGGGGAAATGCCAGAGGAATGATGGAAATCAGTATCTGTAACACTGCAGAGCTCACTGGGATGAAGTGTTCCTAGCACATGCATTTACAACAAACATTATCCTACTCACAGGGCAAGTCCATTTGCTTTGCACCGGGGATGCAAATGGCCAAAGCATTCCCAGGAGCTCAGCCACAGCTGCTGGGGGGTTCTCATTCAATTCAGTGGATTCAAAGGTGTGAGGAGGCAGCTTTGCATAAAAGTGTCCTGGCTTTCATTTAATTTTCTTAGCTCAAGCTGAGTTTGAAACAAGAGAACAATGCTGGCAACCCATTCCTGGGGGAAAAGCCCTTTAAAACATGTTGTTTCTTGTTTCTTAGAGTTAATGCACATGAGAGATCAGTGTGGCTCCTTGGTAGGCGCTAGGACATGTCACTATTCCCTCACCCTGCCATCTTTCCAGGCTTTAATAACCCAGCTGTGTGGCCCTGCACAGGGGACAGAAGAAATGGGTCACACTGGGACCTGTTTGGCAGCCTACCCTTAGTTTTAACTTTGCAATAAGAGGGACCAAGGAGAAGGAAAGAAAGGGTGGAGGAGGCTCTGCAGAGTTTGCCTTTGCAAGGTGCAGCCTGCTTTTGGGCTTTGTCTGGATCCCTTGGCTCTTTGAAGGAATAACACAGCTCATGGTGAGTCATCCAGTTCCAGGCAAAGCCCATGGCCTTGGAGGAGATCATGCTCCATGAATTTAAAGGAACTGCTCAGGTCTGATATCCATTCAGTCTCTGCCAGAGCCTAAACTGAAGGGAGAAGTCCATAGGGTCTACTCCATGCTCTCAAATACTTTAGCTGCACAACACGATGAGCATTGCCAGGATAGAGAAGAATTGGGGGAAATTTAATCTATAAATTCATAACACTACTATTTATTACTGAAAGACCCATTAGGAACAGTGGGTTGAAACACAAGCAATGTTTGTCATTTAATAATCTTAAATAAGGATTTTAAAAGATTATATTTTTTAAACACTATTTGAATCTAACGACATAAAGCATAAACCAAAGTAGTTCATTTTTCTCTAAGCCCCTCCTTCCCCAAGCTGTATGAGTCAAAGTGTCTGGCTTGCCCTTTTGCATGGAACTCATGCAAAATTCATAGTTTCCATGGCTTTAGCATAAACAATGAAGCGTATCAGTCATTTCTTGCTTGCCTGTTGATTTTCTTCACAGATCATCTTCAAAACAGTCTCTGTAAGATCATGCACACCTGATGAGTCAGAAATTAGCGATAATAAAATACATGATTGCTGCAGAGTTTTGGTCCAAAAAAATAGTCTTTAAAAGAACACCTCTTTCTCAGGATTTCTGGTCCAGTCAGGGAAGAAAAATCCCTAACGAGGGCTTTCCTTGTACATACCCTTGCATATAGGTGCAGAAGTCTATGATATTTATTGCTGCCTCCGGCTCTATGATAGGAATTAATTCCTTTAAATAAGTGGGGGTCTTGTCAGCATTTGGACCAAAAAAGCTTAGAGGTGGATAACAGTCACCAAATTGTCTTACAAATGTCGTGTGCAGCTCCAGAAGCTTCTGGAGCACAAAACTGATGATGTCCTCTGGTAAAAACACTCCTGCTCTATTTAAAAGAAAGTACATATTTCCTACTGAGCTAAAAAGGCAGCAAATGGAGCTGGGGTTTTAAAAAGACCAGTGAAAATCAGTTCTGCTTCCGGATTTGTTTCTGGACCACATTGATTTCTTCTCTCTAAGCACAAGTATTTCTTTTTCTTCCTTAAATTCTGTTCCAAATTGGTATCACCAATCTATTTAAGGTTAATGTATTTTGTGCCTCTCAACACCTTCTTGTCTAAAACTCATGTGAGAATGCCATTTTTGTCTAGATAATTTAGAATGCTTTTTTTCCCTTCTAGTACTTCATGTGTTTTGACATTTTCTGCCTTTCCAAAGTTTACTTTTTAGGCCTGAATGCACCAGCTTTTATTCTACTTGTTCATTGAACCATTTCCTACTGTTCTTGTAAAGTTCTGTTTAGTTTGGGGCTGTCTGGGTATGAGAAGCTATCATTGATTTAATTGTACCATGGTGCTTTATAATTTCAGAAAGTTCGTTTTCACTCCAGCTCTCAAAATACAGACTATTTTTCTGGGAAGAACGCTTACAACAAGCCCACAAGATATCAGGTAATCACAGCATGAAAGCAAGAGAAGGGAAGTAATCTGTCAGTGAACAGCTCTTCCCTGCAAGGGTCGTGTTTGTCTTCTTCCCGTCGATGCCACCCTGTGATGTGCCAGGTTGTGCCTTAGCACAGGCATGGGATGGGGCTGGAGCACTTCAGAGACAAATGCAGCCTGTCACCCATGGAAATACACATGGTGTTAGCATTTGTCATGCTAATTATTTCCTCTCAATGGTGTTTAATACAAGGAATATCATTTAAGCTTTAGTATTGCATTGACAGCATTTCATTTGTCATGACATAAAATCATCCCTCCAGCCTTTGCACTAACATTTGCATGTGCTTCTTCTGGCAGTGACTTGTCCTACCAACCTAAACCTGCAATGTGGTATGCTTCAAAAATACCTGTGGCTGCAGCAGTGGCACAGGGTACCCCCACCATCACAGGGACTAACACAACTGGCTGTCTCAGCTGGAGTGTTCATGCCAGCAAACGTATTATTTCTTGAGCAAACACATAATAGGGTAACAGGAGAAGCAAAATGTGCTCCACGGGATTTTTTCCTTATTTTTGAACATAAAGTGAAAAGGAATCAGACAGCAAGTGATATGCCTGGAGAGTTATATTATATTATGTTAAAGAGGGTTGAGGAAAGTGAAAGCTGAATTGGACAAAATGTGCAGTGGCAGTTCTAGAAGTGTTGGTACAACAGCCAGCACAATGGGCTCCTAGACTGTACAGCACACAAGTAACAGATTTCTACTGGTTTTAAAAGATGTTTAGGCCTTTGTGCTAGGATAAAAAGAGTATGTAAGAATCTAAGTTTGAAATGGAATTCATTCACTTCGGTACCTAGAGTTAGCTGGCTTAATACCATCAAAGGCAAAGGGAAGAGATGATTACATCCCACTCAAAATGGCATTTCAGCATTTCTGATGTTTTCCCATCTATTCAAACCCACAGGTAAGGGGAAGATGTGTCAGCCTCTGCTGGGCTCATTCTCTTCCTGTAGCTATTATTTCTAAATGAGACCACCTAATGTTTGTGGTAAATTAGACCCTTATTTCCAAGGTTGAAATAGCCAAAAGCAGCTGTGAAAATTAGATAGAAAAGGATTAGCTACCTGTTATTTTGCTTTAAAAATGCTCCTACTAGATTTGTCTTCAAATGACCTTAAGAAGTTTCAGTTGCTGCAGGAAGAAATTGACTAAATAATATAAGGAGAGTGTAATAGTCTTAATTAGCTAAATATAAAGAAGAACAAAGAGTTTGGTAATGTGGCCAGCAAACTTTCTTCTACAACTGGGAAAACCTTTGAAGCAGAACCTTCTTGCTGAGTGGTTTTCTTTGGTGGAGATTATCAAGTGCTGTATCTGCAGTCTGTGTACTTCTACTACATAGAGGCAGTGCTCCCAAGGGAGAACAAAAATACACAGCATCTGAACATGAAGTGATTTGAAAAGTAGGAAGAACAAGTCAGCACACACTGCAGCCATGGTTTGGGAATGAACTAGTCCAGGCAAAATGGTGTCTTTATCAAACCCTGTTGAGCCAAGCCTTGAAGATGAAGCAGTGCTAAAATGCTCTGCTAAACTAATGAGTTTTCCCCATTTTCAGCACTGCAGTCTGCCAAGTTGTCAACAACGTCTTCACCTATGAAACTAAGGAAAGGATTTGTCTGGAAAACAATATAGAAGGAATAGTTTGCACATTGAAAGGGCAGAAGTAGATTTCTTTGCTGTTTTGAGAGACAAAATAGATCACCAGATTTGAGACCTCATGCCCCAGTGAGTAGTTGTCCCCTCTGATCACTGCTAACTTGCACCTGATTTTGACCAGGGACATGAAGTGGGAAGATATCATGGCCTCCACACTAAAGACAAAGAAATGAGGTTCAGCAGGACTTACCAGACCCCAAAAGCCTATGGTTGAACCCGAAGCTGAGCCTCAAATCTCATGAGTCCAATTTCAGTGCCTCTGTCCATTTCTTCTATTTCCCTTTAAGCTAGGATGTATTCAGATACCTGATGGCAAATGCAGAGCTTGAAGGTGAAGGTTGTGCCAATAAATACATAAAAAACATTGAATTTGGTGCAGTTATAATTTGAAAATGCCTGACCTGTTCCTAGAGCCTGTGAAGCTATTTTAAACCCGACGGTGGGCAGTTGAATGTTGCTGAGTATAAAAGCTCTCTGAGACCTGAAGAATTTCCATTAACTTTTGAAGAATGGGGAACCTTATAAAAATCAGACATATTTTAATTGTTTCCAGTCCAGCATTCATTCCCAAGAGGTTGTCTGTAAGTTTGGTTCAGCATTGCCCTGAATAAGCAGGGTTATTTTTCCTGGAGGCTATTTTGTATGTTCCAACTGAAAGAAGCAGTACTGGGGAGAAGTGAGGCATAAAAGCCCCAGGTCAATATAGAGGCAAAAATGAATTACTTTCCTAAAGATATTGGCAGAAATAACTACTAAATGACTAAGTAGATCCTTGGTACAAAGTGCTCACATTTTTTAGTTTCTGTAGACCAATCGGACTACAACATAATTTGATAAACTAAGCAGCCCTAAGCTTGTGACTTCTGTCACACATAGTGTTTAATATAGGATAGCATTTGAGTAGCGTCCACCAAAAATAGCAGTAGTATGGGAACTGGAGTAGATAGATGTGATGCTATCCTATTTTGCCAGGTAATAAGAGAATTCGCTGTGTGCTGATTCCTTGTTTTAGTCTAAGGTTCCTCTATAGTCTGTTCTGAAAAGAAAATCATTTACTTTTGGATCCAGGATTTCCCTACTTTCCCCAAACATTACTTCATTTATGTTTTCTCAGGTGACCACCCTACCTCCCTCTGGATTCTACTACCTTGGCCATCTTCAACACACCGTACGTGCGCTGTGCCTCATCTCTGTTGCCTTAATGACTCACCTGGTTAGCCAGATGCCTCCTTGATACAAGGATGGTCTTAGACATCCCATATTCCATGACTGCATGACATATACAAATGACTGGATCCTTCTCTGATGTTCACATGCCTTTTGCATTGTTATAATCCGTATCTGGATACTAAGAAGAAAGAGCAGGTGTTCTGATTTCTTAGTTGGTATTTCCCACTCTTTGCAGTGTTTTTCAGCGATGCTCAAAGCAGAGACGTGATTGCTCTGTGAGTAACTGAGCCCATGCTGGGAAAGGCTTTTCCCCCAACAGTGACCATCTGGTCAATGAAATGCATTTGTGTATGTGTCCTTGGATGTTCACTGAGCTCCTTTGTTTACAGAGGATGCACCCAAATCACTGCCTCTGATAGAGCAATCCTTTTTATGTTTATTATAGCTGAGGGTTTTTTTCTCCTTTGATGAGTGCTTTTTCTGTAGTGAAGAAGTGGCAATGATGCAGCCTTAAGCTGTAGCCCTGTGCGTAGCCCAAGACTGCCAATGTTACTGTCCTTCTCTGTAGACGTAACATGCATTTTTGGAACAATATCACATTGCAAGCTCCTATCCATAGCCATCTTCTACTATTTCCGTAGGTGCTGTTCCTTATTAACAATCATCCCCCATTTTATAAGTCTACATGGCTCCATTTTTTATCCTGTGCATGGCCTTTAAAATTTGTCATTTTCCTAAGAAACTTTTCCCACTTAAACCAAATTCTCTACTTTTGTTCAAACTCTTTTCTCTCTGTCCTTCACTAAAACTATTTTCTCTCTTAAAACCCCAATTGCAAGACAGAGTCCTTCTGTTAACTTTGGGTCAGATATTTAGTCCCTCATTATGAGAGAGTTTGCTAACATCATTAATTGACCACTTATTTCTTCCTGTAAAGTACTTTTTATTGCTATATTAAACAGCAACATGCTAAGGAAAGGCTCTGGATCCCATTTCTTAACTTGCTATTGCATCATCTGTGTTTTCTTTCTGTCTGTGGGACATACTCTACATTCATATGCATTCCATGAAATACCTGAAGGTGCCTTGTATGGGGGCTCATTATGGAATGGCTGTCAATCAACTGCTGTAGTACAAAGTCCATAAGATAAAGTATAAAATACATAGGAAGTCAATAAATAAACTCTCTTTGCACTCTCTGAAGCCAGGTTTTATGCATAGTGCAATGAGGTGTTTGAATTGCTCAGAATGTCTAGAATGAAGGCAGCAGGGCTAAGCTGACATGAAGATAAGTGTTTCTGTTCTCTTCTTAGAAAATAATGAAGCGTCTGATTAAGCGGTACGTCCTGAAGGCTCAGGTTGACCGAGAAAATGATGAAGTTAATGAAGGCAAGTGGATTGTTATAATTGACACATATTAGAGCACGTGGTGTTATTGCTACTGATACAAACACTAAGAGGCGTCAGTTTAGATAACATCCTCTGCTCATGCATGTGTCATCATCAGTGTTGACTCTGAGCCACCTTTACGCTCATAAATTCTGGGTTCCCAATTTTCCTTAGCAGAATACATATATCACAGGATCTTTACAGAGTTCTGCTCTGCCCCATAGCTCTACATCTCCTTGCTTTGCAACACCCAGGCTATTGCCAACACTCAACCTTACCTTGGTGTGGAAGCAAAGCAATTTCTGCCTGTACTGCCCCTACCTGCTCCAAGATTTGTATTGTCATTATGTCATATAGGATTTGTATGCAGATGTAAACGAACCTCCTTCGGTCACCTCTTAACTGTTACTCTCCTGCAAGTCCCCCTATAGATAAGAGATAAATATGTGGAGAGATAATATACATCAGAAAAAAAAGGTAACTTTCCATACATCATACATATTTGCTATTGCTGTCAGTACCACTACTACAAATACAGGTTATTTCTTATAGGCACAAATATTAAATGCATCAATGCAGGGATGTAATCAGGAGCTCCATACTCATTCATGAGCAAACACACTGAAATTAATTCTCTCTCAGCTCTTAAAACGACAGGGATTACTTATTTGGGTCAATGCTGCTAACAAAGACATTTTCTTCCTTTTAGGAGAACTTAAAGAGATTAAGCAAGATATTTCTAGTCTCCGCTATGAGCTCTTAGAGGAAAAGTCACAAGCTACAGACGAGCTGGCACGACTAATACAGCAGCTGAGCGACAAATTTGGGAAGACCTTAAACAAGGACATCTGATGGTGAAAACAGAGCAAGGCAACTGGTTTCCTAAACACTTTTGAATCTCAACCAGCATCTTAGGAGAGCAAAAACCATATAAAAGATGGGTACTGCACACTCAGCTTTTGCTAACTAGCAAGTATTGGTAGGAGCACCTTGCATTGCTGCTGTGCTTGGTGAGTTTATTACCAGTTAAATCTTTTATGACACAAAAGTGACTCACTGGTAAAAATGTATTCCCTTTGACATCAGAAATAGATGCACCATAGGGAAGCACCTCTAGTTAAAGGCAAAAAAGACAGATCTTCACCTATCTGACTGTAGTGAAGACAACGTAACTGTGCTCATTTATACCACCTGGGACTGTACTGATCAGAGTTGGGTGAAGCCTGAAGACAAAATGTGATAAGCACTCCTTGAAAATTCCTATCCTCGGGTGTGTACTCCCCTTTTATGTTTACATGGGCAGCCCTGAAGATACCTTTGAACTGTGGCTAAGGAAAAGCAACTGAGAAATCAACTGCTGAACTGACCAAGGCAACGTATGGCAGGTAGAGGTCATCTACTTTTGATATAGATGGATAACAGCATTGGGAAAAATGAATGGAGCTTGTTGGGTAAAGCATTCTTTCACCCTTCTGCTAGAACCTGATGCAACGATTCCCAGCCCAGAACTCCTATTCCCTATTCCAGCTATACTAGCTAGTCCACAAATGGATATGGTCTCTCTGTACACACCTTGCCTCTCTTTTATCCTTAGACAACCCCAGCTTCCCTGACAGTGTTCTGAAATATTCATAATGATGTGCAACTCACTTCCCAGGAATACCCAGCAATCACATTTATTGTGCTAATGTATTCAGTTCAAGGAACAGCAGTTATTCAGTGACAGTGATGCAACTCATCTTGCAGGTTCCAGAGGTCAAACAGCAAGCCACAGGGTGAGATACAGCATGAAAAACATAGCCCGGTAGTTTCAAACCTTTAAATCAACACAAAAAGGCTTAAATTCCACTGAGAACATTCTGACAAAAAAAGAAGAAATAAAGAAAAAATCATTGTGGAAATTCTGTGTTTGGCTTTTACAGAGGACAAGGAAGGGATTGAAGCTGTTTTAAAGGCTGGAGTAATACAAGTACCTGGATTGCACTGTTACAACTGGAAAGCAATGAGTCTGCGCAACACAACTGCAGACTCTGATTGCTTGGGTTTTTACATTTAGCTACATGACTTCAACTACTTAAAGAACACCTTACTACTTGGGAACCACTGAACTGTACTGCTTGTTTACAAGAGACACCTAGAAGATGAACACTACATTTAAGCATCAGCTAAGGAAAACAAGCAGAGCCAGAAGGTGCCCCGTGATCAGTTTTTAAGTGCCAGATGAGAATACAGATAGCCTAATAGAATAATAGTTATATTTGTACAAAAACCATACAAAAAAAACCCAAAATAAAAAGTGTACTGTACGTAGATCTGTTTAGAGAAAAGCAAAATACTGTATTTTTACCTTTAATAAGATTATCTTGTATACTGTAATATTTTTACCTGAAAATGGGGGGAAAAAAATAAAATTACCTCATAATATTTTGTTGCAAACCGAGTGAAATATTTGCCTGATCTTTTGACTATCCAACACGTGGGCTTCTTTTCTGCAACCCGTGAATGATGAAATCATTGTATGAAGCAATTTTGCCATAGGAGGTCTGAAGCAAAGAAGCAAAAGAAGCAAGACTTAGACTAGAATACACTTCAAAGGAATCAAACTATGAAATAAAAGGTTGGGACCAACCATATTCTGCAAACAGGACTTTTTAGTTGTGGTGTTTACATTGAAATTATTCTGTCCTTATTAATGTGTTTGTAAAATTGCCTTCTAAGAACAGAAGGTTCAGAAACCCGCTTAAACCAGAAAATGCTGCTAATTTAAGATATTCGGTGTTCCCCATAAGAAGGAACATCTTTCAAAGTAATACTTCTTTCCCCCTCTTCCTTCCCTTTTCCAGACACTGTGTAAAAGCTTTTTCAATTAAGAAAACCAAGTTTGGTGCCACAGAATTCTCTTAAACATCTATTTCATTACAGATCTACACTTGGCTCCTGGTCAAAACATTGCTTTAGCCTTCCCATTCAGTTTTTTAGCATCCCCTAGTAATTTAAGCAGAAATATTCTAGGTAGAAGATCAATAACCACCGTTATTTCCATTTCTTATGATATTGTATGCCAGTTAGTACGAGAAAGGTGGAAATAGTACAATGAACTTACATACGTTTTGTACATTTAAATGCAGCTCAGTGAAAGACCTGTCTTCCTGTCATTGCTGAAAGTCCAGCAGTGCCAACAGGAATGTTCTCCTGCTGAATACTGCATGTTCTGGTCAGCAGAAATAACACTGTACTGTGAATAGCTCCAGTGAACTATATGGGCCCAGGAGGATGTATAGCCCTGACCCACCGGCTACTGCCTGCTGCCTTCTAGCATCTCTGTAGGTGAAGCAGAGCGGCCCTGCCACAGGAATTTGCAATGAAAGAGCATAATATTTTCTAGGACCTCAAAAGTAGACTAAAAGCTGTATAAAAAACACCGTACAAAAGAAATCTGCTTCCTCCCCTTTTGTATTTACATTCCATGAACTATCAAGGCACAGAGACTTCTGGTAAAAATATTAATGACAAGCAAAATCCCATTCCATCAGAGCACTTCTCTCTGGTCCCAGGAACACACCCAAGGAAGCTGCACCCTATGTAGTAGTGTGCGATCAGCAGCAATGACATTAAATTCATGGTTTGCTCTCCAGGCTCTGTTTATAAGATGTTAAAATGAATAAGCCTTACTAAAAGATCCCTGAGAGAGGGCTTGAAGAGGAAAAATCAAAGTAGGTCCCAGATTGGATTAGACCCGAGATGTGCAGGTCCCTTGTCCCATCTCCCATCACTGGTGGGGGATGAGACATCACCCACCTGCTGGGTTAGATTTGATCCAGTCTGTAACAGCTCTTACTTTTAGCTTCAAAATACAGGATTTAATATTCCTTGGACAAATTCGTACTGCAAAGGAATGGAGCTTTGTCCAAACCCTTTGTAGATACAGAATTAGAACTTTTTATGGGAAATATGTTAGAGAGGGGTCACGAAAAGATGAAACTAACCTGAAGTCATCCACACAAGGGTGAATATGCTCCAAGAGATCATCCTAATTCTGCAGATCCCACAGGCTTATCAAACTAAAACAGACACCCCGAGGAAGATCAGAACAAAGCCATTAACTAGCCAATGTTGATTTACTGACTTCAGACAATAGTTTCACACCTTGCAAAGACCAAGCCATTCAGCTGCTGCTAACAGAAAGGGAGCAAATGGCAGAAAGCATTACCATGACTCCAAATAACCGAACTACCAGGTTTTAAGGCCGGAAGCCCTGCTGAGCAGAGGTGCAAATCCTGAAACAAAAGGGGCTGCCCGAGGGCATTTGGAATCAGGCCAGTGCTTTCAGCAGCATGAGGTGGGGTTTCACACATAGCTTTGCTCTCGCAGCTGCACTAATTCTGCCTGTAACTCCACTGAGAACGACTGACCACAATCTACAGCTCCCAAACAATAGGGTTCAAAAGTAAGTAAGAAGCAAGAGCAGTGTCATGAAGAATGGCTTAGAGGACTGCCTGTGCCCTGACTGGAGCTCACAGCAGATCCAGTTGTCAGAGCTAGGCGTTATTTCTAATTAATCCACATGAGAAAAACGTTTCCAGCAGTCCAAAAGAAAATACCTTGATTAAAGATGTGAGAGATTAAGGATCGCTCAGCAAGGACACAGGGCATCACTTCAAATGCGGAACAGAGCAGTGCAGGCAGCGTTTCAAGCACATCCCCAGCTGACAGCAGATCTCTGCCTGCACCAGGGCTGAGTCTGTGCTGCAGCCCTGGGTTGCAGATGCAGAGGGAGGAGGCAGCATCATCAAGGGCAACACCTCTGCTGCCTTTCCCACAACAAGCAGGAGCCTGGCAAACAGGTCTTTTCAATCCTCATTTGGCTTGCATTTGCTTTCCTGACTAACAAACAGGTAAGGAAAGGAAAGCATGACTTCATAGCCAAAGCCACCAAGACTGTCTTGCAGCGTGGCTTTCAGATGGGAAGAGCAGATGTTTCCTCTATCTAGACATCATAAATACTTTCCTTGTGACCCAGCCTGGCCCCTAAAAGCAGCTCTGCCCTTGCATTAGCTACAAATCTCTCACCACTGCAGAGTTACATGCTATGGTCAGCACGTCCCACAGCTCCCTTCTTAACTCACTTGGTTCACATCCATTATGATACCTTGCCAGTGGCAGGGCTATAAACCCTGAAGGTGGGAGATCTGATGCTGGACACCAGCCTGCACAAACTATGGCCTTAAGCAACTTACTTACATTTTTAGTAAAAAAGAAATAGAGAGCAGAGGAGGAATAGCCCTAGCTTCCAATGAGAGAATTGGAGGTGCAAGAGAAATCCAGGGATTTACCTTAACAAGCTGAAAGTCAGAGGTCAAAAAGGGGACTGTGGCTCTGAATCTGATTTGGGGCTTCTATATACCCATTAACTTCAATCTCCCTTGGTCTCTGTTCTGCATCCATGTAGGGCACATACTCCAGTGTGAGGCCTAAGATCTGCCAATGCCTGCTGTAAAGCAGCACAAGAGCAAGGGGAAAAAGGATCATTGCCTCAGTTATCACTCATCATTTTAGGAGGTGATTCCCTCAGTCTCTGGGAAGTTATAATGGCTCCATATCAATAATGAGATAAGCCTTCACTATAGCTGAATTTCAATAAAGCCAAATAGAAAGGATTATAACAACCAAAAAGGGCAAAATAACTGAACTGGCTCTGGAATTTTTAATGCTTTTAATAGCAAGTAAAAGGGCACTCACTTAAGGTCATTTGAGACAGATATTTAACTCAAATCTGCAGCGTGATAAAGAGGATTTGAAAGGGCTTAAAAGGTTAATGAATAGCTAGCGAGCTTGTTAATATATAACTAATGTTTATTACAATAGAGACTAATATTTAATTCCCCTACTAATGATTAATTATTCTGCTGTAAGGGTTTAATTAGGGCTTACACAGCAGGAGAGTGGGGGTCTGGTGCTGAGATGAATTTCCATGTGGCACTCACTGGCCTCAGCTCTGGGCTCTCCTCCAGCAGCCCCCCCTGTGATGGGCACAGCTTTAGGAGTCAGCACGCCCGTGTGCAGAGGCAGTGTGGGACCGACTGTGATAACTTCGAGGTCTTCATTTGAAGCTGAGTTTCCATCCAATTAAAAAAAGCTCATTTTGTGCAAAAGGGTTTTCTGTACAACAGAACGTGCCAAATCTGAGTGATGATCCCCAAACACAAATGGCAAAAGTGAATTCATCCTGTAAAGAAGATCGTTGGGCAAATGAACTTAGGAACAGCACTGATTGATATCAGTCATGCCTGCAGCCAGCCTGGACAGACTGCTTCAACAGGCTACTCAGCAGACCACACTCATCTTCCCAGCCCTACATGTGCAGCAGTCAAGTGAGCTCCCAGCTTAGTGACTTCTATTTTGGTCTTTTTTCCCCCCAAAACCCATGTCACACTCTCAGGACCATCAAACCTGAAGCCTACAATGCAAATCTTCCCCCAGGCTGTGCAAACACACTGGCTAGCTCAGAGCTAACACAAGGGGTTAAATGTGGCATAGATGTACCTATAGAGTCTGCTGAAAGCCAGCCCCAAACCTAAACGCTGGGTATAGCCCAGAGAGAGCATCATAAGGTAACAGGAATCATTGTGCCTAGTGATGTTAACTGATGCCACAGCCTGCAATAACCCCACAATCCCTAAGGACCCCCAAGCATCCTGGCAGCCGGAGAGGACAGAAACTATTCATTTACCATTGTTTCAGGAGCTTTTTTCTGTCTTGTAACTAAAAGTTCAAACCTCTTGTCTCTGCAGAGAGCTGCATGGTGTTTTCCTATCTATTCTCCATGCTTCCGAACAAAGGCTGTGGTGTCTCATAGATATTTCAGTGGGCACGTCTATTCCCAGAGGGAAACATAAACCAAAGCATTCCCGAACTCCACAACAAACTCTTGCGGATGAGGAAGGGAGATGCTCACCGCTGCACGTTGCGGCTGAAGCCGGCAGGCTGTGCTCATGAACCAGTAATGCGCAGCCCTGCCTCTGATGCTCTGAAGTGAAACCAAAGCTACAGGAGAGAAGAAACCTCTTTTCTGGAGGGTTTTTCTTCAGCTCGTTATAGCAACCTGCCTACAGGCTTTAATAATGCTTAAAGCCACAAGAATCTGGCTCATATTAAATTGTATTATTAAGCCAAAGAAATGTTGAACTGCAGCTTTCTTGTTAGGGGGAAAGGCGATATTTCTCCACTGACTGATGCACTCGGGTTTTACTCTCTTCACTGTCTTCCTTCTTACTTTGGTAAAGGTCTCCCTTGCCCGTAGGGGTCACATCTTTCAGGCTCTCACACTCATTCACACTGGCACAAAACAAAGACAAAAAGCTCCATCAGCTTCAGCTGAACTTTGGGTTTAGGACCTGCTGTGGCCAAATCTCCACCTGCTGCTTCCCAAAGTGCAGGTTCAGCTCTTTATACTCGTTTTAAAGAGGTGAAGATTAGGTTCTCCATCAATCCGTACCTACCTAAGCCAAAACAAAATAACTTTAAACTCATGTTGCTGCTATCATCTCTCATAATAAGCAGAGATTTCTTCATCCACCCTTCAATTTTTAGTAGTATTTCTAACAAAACATGGAACATGCCTAGATCTGAGGTACCAGGATACTTGTGATAGCCAAGTGTGTGACAGCTCTTTGCATATTCTAATAGGGAATCCCTCCAGCATGCATCCTTCTTGGAGCTGGAATTTAACCTTTAGACTTTTTCTAGGCACAGTGTATCTTTGGTTGAAGATAACACTTTAGTCATAACCTAAAATTCCCTTTTTTCTAGGCATTCTTCTTGCAGCAGTGAGTCAGAAATCTTTGTGTTATGACAGCTTAAACCAATGAACCTGATGCTCCCAGATGCAATTAAGAGACAGGGAAAAGCTGACAGTGAAGTGCACCTCTCCTGTGCCAAAGCCAGCATTACCTTATTCCTGACTTTTAGGTTTTCAGTGATACCAAGATGCACTGTCAGTAGTAAGGGATGCACTGTCAGTAGTAAGGGATGCACTGTCAGTAGTAAGGGATGCACTGTCAGTAGTAAGGGATGCACTGTCGGTAGTAAGGGACTCCTCTGAGAGCTGGGTGAAAGGCAGGAGTGATACAGAGTTATTGGGATGACACATCCACCACACTCCTCAATTTCAATTGGGATTTCACAGTAAAAACCCCGAGCTTCCCCAGCTAAGGAAGTTCAACTCATTCTTGAAAAGGAGAATAAAGCAGACACATAAAAAGCACGACAAAACTGAACACTCAAAACAAGTCTACCAACACTCATGTGTTGGTCCCACTCCTTCACGTGCTCCCACAGCCCTTCTGCCCTCCAGTGCTAGAACTGCAGGGACCTGAAGCCAGCCGCATGCTATGGGCACAACCCCGTATCAGTGATGTTCACAGCATAAATCACAGCCTGTATCTTGCTCAGGCAGAGGGCTGTGGCTCAGAAACATACTATTATCATCTAAGGCAGTCCTCTAAGCCAACCAATTCCAGCAACTCGCTTTGGAAATACCACCCACATCCTATAAAACTCCAGATTTGAGGTGCAGCCCACAGAGACTAATGAGGGTTTGAATTTATGCCTCAAGAGCTTCTAATAGGCTCATAATCCTCCTATGCAAGTAAGTTGTTCACATATTTTCAGCTAGGGAAGGGGCTTGATTTCACAGGTAATAAAGATTGCATTCAGGTGAAAGAATAAATAAAGCAATAAATAGAATAAATAAAATTAATGAAGAATAATTAAATAAATCTTAATAAAATTAATAAAAGAATAATAGAATAAATAAAAAGAATAAAAAAACAATTGCTATCATTTTAGCACAAAGTTTAGGTATGTAAAGGGGTGTGTAGTGGACGAACTGAGTTTCAGGTGCTATGTTTCTCAGATGAAGCTTCTGAAGCGCCCCCTTTGTCCTGGCACCAGGAGGGCACATTGAAGCAGCCTCCATAATGGGGGGGGTCCCATAGTGGGGGTTCCCTTCAGAAAGTGTTTTACTTGAGCTTTGAGGAGTAAAGTCAGGAAACATGCAGCATTGATGCCAGCCAACATGGGCCTTTCCTATTCCTCAACTGGACAGACCTTGTGAGGATGCTTCGCTGAAAGCCATCCCACTAAGTGCGCCCATTAAAAGCAATCAAGCACACCTCTGTGCTTACCAGGCATTTCAGATCAAGTACTAAACAAGCTTGTTAGTTTGGGCAGGGCTAGCTGGAAAACACCTCTGTGAATGCATGTTTTGCTCTATTTACACTACAGACATGGGCAGCCCTTGCAGAGCACCTGGGTTGTGCTTTCCTTTTCATTCTGAAAGGAATGAAATCCTTTCAGATTTCATTTTTCCAAGTTTGAATTGGACATCCTAGGGGAAAGGAGGGGAGAGATCCTGGTATTGCCTGAAAAGGCAAACAACCTTGCTCTCACAGCCTGCAAGAAAATCCTTCTGTCCTCTCCAACTTCCTCTCCAAAAGAAAAGTGAGAACATTTAACTTTGCTTAGCACCAAGTACCTATTTCTGAGCAATTCTAGTACCTATAAAGCTGTAGGAAAGAAAAAGACATTCTCCCTCTCTATACATTACATGCTACATACCCTTAAACAGCTCTCAGGTCAGTCTTTTAAAC